ATAAATAAATTTCTGAGGACATTGAATGCCAGGGAATGGAATTTGGTCATTAGCTTATAAAAAATACAAATAATGTGAAAGTCAGTATGGAATATTATGATTATGTCTTTAGTAATGTTAGTAAAATACTTCTAAGCATAAGGAAAAATATATCATAAATTACATGAAAGTCAAACCACTTACATATAAGACTATAACATAGCTGGGAAAGCTACTTTTTTCAATATTCTTGAAAACCAAACATTTCCAAATCACTATTGAAAACCGTATCTTTATTAGCTGTAGCAGAGAGTTGAATATCCCAGTTAAATTTGCTCCTGAGAACCAAATCCGTTGCCATGGAGTCAATGCCGACTCATAGCAACCCTATAGGATGGAGTAGAACTGCCCTATAGGGTTTCCAAGGAGCAGCTGGTGGATTCGAACTGCCAACCTTTTGGTTAGCAGCCGAGTTTTTAACCACTGTGCCACCAGGGCTCCAGATCCTGAGAAGCAAGTATAATAAATTTATTTATAGGTCAGCTACATTCTCTTTTTGAACTAGACATTTGTAGATTGCTAAAGCATCATATTATTGGCCAAGAAGGTCAAGGGGTGTAAAATGGAACTAGCAGGAATAGTGGTGGGAATACCAGTAGTAGCGTCAGAACCTGTCTAACTTCATGGTAGAAGAATGACCAGGATCAGCACAAATCTGATTTCCAAGAGGTAGAGGTCAGACATACCACCACTCTTCAAGTTTTTAACCAATTCTGACACCAGCCATCCTCCCATGGCACTCTCTACTTATTTTCTTGGTTCAATAATCCGTTGCAATGGCCACACAGAACTCACAGACCATACTTAGAGTTAAGTGGTTTATTAAGAACAGACAGGATCTAGATCAGGAAGCATGTAGGCAGAGTTTCCCTTCTCAGTGCAAGACAGCTCTCTCAGCTCCTCTGGGTAGTGCAGGCCTCCTCTTGGACCCCTCAGGACAGGCCTCCTCTTAGCCCCCTGAAGACAGGCTCCTCTTGGCCTTCTGAGGACAGGCTCCTCTTGGCCCTGCCATCATCACTGCGGTCTCTGCCGCTGGGCCCTTGCTGTCTTCAGTGTTACAGCCCTTGACCTGCGTTACAGCTCTTTTAGGTGTTTCCTAGCCTCCTCTCTCTCTCTCTCTGCTTCTTGCTGCTACTTCTCTTCCTGCTTCTTTCTGTCTTTAAAACCTCTGTATGGTTGGCTGTGTATGTACACAAACTCTTCATCAATTTCAAGGCCTGGCCCCTCCCAACATGAGTCACAAGCTGACCAATCCTGTTTTGGTAGGCCACATATACTTCATTTGCATCGTCTACTGAATAATCCCTGCAAGGTGTATACCAATCACAGGGCAGGCTGCAGCCCAGGATCAGACAAAAAGTATCAAACCAAGTTGTTTACAGATTGCCTAGGAAATGTCAGTCAACTTGGACAGAAGTAACAAATCCTCTAGGATAGAAAACTAAGGCAAAGGTAACTCCTCAGGGCTTAGGGGCAAAAAAATCTCTTAAACTGTTTTTCCAAAGAACCAAGGCAAAAGGCCACATAAAGGAACTCATTTCATCACTGGAGGGAAAGTCTGTACTTGGGGGACATGGCAGGAATTCTATGTGGGCTTTAAAATAAAAGAATAGCACCACATTGGACACCATGTTTGAAATGCTTTCATTTACCTATATTTTCGAGATTTAGAGTTTCTCCGAAGGACGTTTACCTGAAATTTTAGAGAGGGTAAAACTGGTAGTGAAGAGGCTCTCTTGTGTAAGTGATTGATCCATCTCAACTAATTTAATGGTAGAAACGTCATAGTAAAATAGACTGTCAGGTGGTTGACACAATCAGTGAATTAAAAATGCTGGTCCTGTAGTATGTTGATTGGAAAAGCACAACCTCTTTATAGTTGGTGACTTTTCATTGTATCTTTATTTAGAAAATGGAGTTTTCTGTTCAAATCAACATGTGCTGTATGGTTTAGTGAATCAAGTTGACGTTGCATGTCACAGCTTTCTTACCAGTTGCTGTAAATACTGAGATCATTGAAGTGATCGAAATTGCTTTGGAAGTAATGCAGGTGTAAACTGAATAGTAAAAACAATAGATAAATTTAGGTAGAGAAGAAGTTACTACTTTCCTCTTTATTCAAAAACAAACAAACAAAAAACAAAACAGGTATAATACATTCCCCCAAATCAGCTTATCCTCCAGGTGATAAGAACAATATCTATTTTATGCAGATTCTTATGGTGATGTTTTCAAAAGTATAAGTATAATCCTCTAATAAAAAATGTGCAGGATCACAAATCAAGACGTTCTATTTCTAGGGGCATAATAATTGCAGTAGCTTTAATGACTTTAAAATGATGATCCTTCAGGTTTTTTTTCATCTTGAAGGCTGTTAAATAAAACCAAATTGGTTTGAGTGAGAAATGAAAGAAAATAGCGTCATTTATGAGAGCATAATACTAAAAACTAAGCTAGTAAGAGGGAAGTCAAGTTGGCAGATTAAAGACCCATGAAGGAACACAGCATTGTCCTTTTGTCCTGTGCTAAGATATTGCTTTGCCTTTTTTTCTCCTAATGAATACTTTTTTAGTATTTTCTCTCTCTTTTTAATTTTAAATACCAATTTTCTGTTTTTTTAAAGCCGTCAGATTTCTGGAAAAAAAAAAAAAAAGGAGAAACAAAAAGAATTGAAGCCTTTATTTGCATTAATCTTAGCATGGCTATACTGCAGTTTTGGGGAAGGGAATGGAATACCTCTCCCTTAAGGTTAAAGGGAGCAATACAGCTGGCCATTTAGACTCTCATATCCCCTAAAGCCTTCTGAGCCATGTGTTCTCTTAAAAATGTTCCAGTCCTTTTCTGTAATGAAATGAGCAGAGGTTTCAAACTGACAAACTGCAGTGCCTCTTCAGCCACTCACCATTTTTGTAATCTTGAGCCAGTGACTTTTCCTCTGGGAGCCTGACCCTCCTGCCAGAGAATGGAGATGTTAGTATCCACCTAGGAGGCTTTGGTAAAGGCAGATTGAAGAAATACATGTTCAAGCACGTTGAAAAGACCCCAGATACTGAGTCTAACTACTCGTATTAAGCATTTATGGAGTGCTTGTTCTGTTTAAGGCATTGTTCTAAGCGTCTTTTTTTTTTTGTCCTGCATTGATTTGTATAACCCTCAAAACAATCCCATGAGGTAGGTGCTAGTTTATCTCCATTTTAATGATTGGGAAAGTGAGACCCTGAGATGCTGCCTATTTTTCTCAAAGTCATATAACTAGCAAGTTGAAGAGCTTGAGTTTCAAAAGAGGCTATATACTCTTATCCACTGTTCTGTGCTACCACTAGTGTTGCTCAATTTTATTTTATTTTTCCTACAGGCAAATACAGATTGTAGTGTTCTCTTGGCACCTAATGTAGAACTCCTCTTTTGGCTGTCTGTGCCTACAATTATAAAAACAGGAGCCAAGCACTCTACCAGTTAGGAAAGGGAATGTGGCAGGGTGAGGCAGAAAGAAGACCTGTCCCCTCTTAGATAAGGAAATAAAAAGCAAATAGCTTCCATCTTAAAAATATGTGTTTTCTAGTGCAGTGATCTTTGAACTTCAAGCATTGTGAATCCCGTGAATAAAAAACTTTTTTGGCTTGTGCCTTTAAAATTATTTTAAATAAATAATATATATTTATGTATGCTACTATACAAATTTATAATAAACATTTTAGAAACCTCACAAAAAGAAAACAGAAGAATGGATAAAATATAGATAAAACAGAAATTCAAATATTTCCTTTCTACCCTCTAATGAACCTTATCTACTTTCCTGACTAGTAAATAGAATCCTGGTCAGGGGTAGGAAACTAGTGTTATAAAGGAAATTGTACAATCATCTAAACATTGGGCAACCTCATGCGAAAATTTGGATTTCTGACTTCCGCTGGAAATTTAGAAAAGTGGCAGCAATGGCTTATGTTCCTACACAACAGCAATTGAGGGAAGCTGAGCATCAGCTGGTTTCCTAAGACAAACCCTGCTCTCCAGAGTTTATCACGGTCTTCACTATCCCTATAGTCCCTTTAAGCTAATTAACTCTTTTTCTTTATCTGCATACCCCCTTTATGAATTTGAGTTTTAAACTTCTAAATTAGAGAAACAGAGTTTTGATCTCTGTACTGCTACAGTCTATAATGAAAGGCATTTTGAGCAATTCTGTGTGAATAATTTCTGCTATTTACAGGGAAACTGAGCACATCATTCTTACAGTAAGACTCTTTGATTTGCTCTCTGGCCACTGATCTCTTAACACACAGTTTATTCAGCTACTGGAAGGTTACAAATAAATAAATAAAAGAAGAAAGAAAGAAATTAAAATTAAATTAATTCAAATTCTTTTTGAAAGACAGATGTGGTAAAAAGTGATGACTTACTATTACTCTAACTTGGCATTGTTAAATCAGTCTCTTATCACTCTACTAGAAAAGAATTAGCATTTTAATTTTGAGTCTTTCTACTAAATTGTGTAAGAACAATTTCCATTTAAATTCTTTTGTAGAATATTAAGAATTAGTTTATCAGCTTAAGTTGTTGTAGTGCAATATATACTTTATAATTGAATTATGCTATAGGCAGCATAATTTTATTAACTAACACTGATTAATATTTGATTCATAATTTTAAAGGGAGTGTGGTTCTGATATCATCAGTTTGTTAACTCCTCAACCTATTTGCTTGCAAATTGAGTAACAGAAGAGATGTCGTTTTTAAAAGATTACTTTTCTACCAATTCATGTCGATAAAGTGTTCCAGTGCATTAAAAAAGCGTGTTACTTCGTTAATGGATTGCATGGCACAGGTAATTAACTATGAAGTCATTAGGCTTTTCTTTGCTGTGACAGTTGTGTTCACCTATAACAGATTAATGCACATGTCAAATCTTCCTTTCTCCCTCCTGTTATTGCAGATCAGCCTTGACTGGTATTTGACAGAAGATGTTGCGACAGTTTTATCTCTGGAAATGTTTGGCTTCAGGGATTATCCTTGGCCCTCTCTTCACAATCTCCTTGGGCCAGTACGACGATGGTAAGGCTGCATTTAGTCTGACCTTTAGAGTTACCCAAGATTCCTCTTATTAAATAGAAAATGAAACACAATGCAGAAGTGAATAATGCTAACTTGTAGCTCATTTTAAAAGGTCGTTAGCTCTATACAATAATTTACTTTAATTGAAATAAAAAGTGGCATCAGATGCACTTTGTTTCTTAATGAAGATTGTAGCATGGTAGAAAATCCAACATGTGGCCTCTATTTGAATGCTTACTGATTCTCACTAAGCAAATGCTCAATTACTATGACCAAAAAAAAAAAAAAAAAAAAATTCTATTTACTAACCCTTGAAAAACGCAAACAAGATCTGAAAAAAAAGCTTGGAAATACAAAATGCACAGAAATTTCCCAGGAGAAAAGATTCCTCAAAGGCCTCAAAACTAGAAGTGATTTTATTGTTAGCACTTTACTTGGAAATTGCATTGTTTCACTCCTCATTATTTCATTTGGAAAGAGTGAAAAAAAAAAAAAGTAAAAGCCTGGGCATTAGACTTCTTAAGTCATTCCCTAATAGTAAGTCTGTCACTTTAGAAAGATGTATTAGTTTTCAGGCTCCTTAAGGACCGTTTAACACATTGAAGTCTACAGTGGCCCAAATGTGCCTCTAAGGTATTTCAGTATTGGAGACATCTGTTATGTGGTTTGAATACCACATAATGAGAGGTAGAAGATATATAATACTTTTACTTTAATAGAAGCAAAAAAAATGGGCAAAGCGTCCCTCTCTAGAAGTTTACTATTCAAGAAAACTGAGCCTCATTCTTCTTTTTTTTTTTAATGTGTCTTGATTTTGTTCAAAATTTGCTCCATATTCAAGGGGACATAGGCAAACAACCATCTCCTCATCTTTGTTGCCTTGTTATCTAATTACTATCAGCTACAGTGGAGAATGTGGGTTTCTTTTGTGTTTTGCTTGGCTAAACTGATTGATCTAAAGATAGATGGGTTAATTTGATTTTATCCCAAACAGTGTTTAAATTGTGCATGCATCAGGACATTCTCACTCTCAATAGTTAGGAGGCTATGTCTCTTTTGGGGCTTTCAAAATAACTGACAATAATAACTTTTTTCATAAAGTCAACAGCCTCATCCCCTGAATGGTTCTGCTAATTAGCACAGTGTTTACTTCTTGTGTGTCTGAATTTAATGTTCATGGGTTTGCCATTTACGAAGATTGTCAATCTCCAGTCTAAAGATGAATAAAATTGTAATGATAAATAAATAAATATCTGCTATGGTGAAGCAAAACAAACAAAATCAACGAAATTAAAAACAGCATGACTTTATATTACAGGAACAGATTTTAAATTGTGAATCAGGAGTAGATGACAAATCGGTGGGTTGGTATTTATGTCACCAGGCATTCTATTTTTATTCGTATCCTGGAATGTGAGGAACCATTGATTTTTTTAGTGTTCACACTGAATAGGGCAGGATTATCTGTCATTCCTCACATTACATAGACATTCACAAACCCTGCACTTTTTAGCAATGTAATTTAAGTTATCAAAGGAAATTACTCCGGGTTTAACCTGTAATACCATAGATTGATTTCCTTAACAAGCTCATTGTAGCACTTGGTCTTTCATAAATGTACTCACATAGCTTCAAAAATAACAATTATCAGGTTACTATTGGCCATATGTAGTCTGCTTTCCGAAGCAGAGTGGAACTCTACACCTGACAAGTGATCATATACAGTAGGGCCGCTCCCTAAAATATTACCCTCATGGATGAATCCCCTATAATCACGGTTAGAAAGCCTTCTCAGTTCTCTCTTCCTGTAAAAGTGACTCAATTCTTAGGAAGATTGAAGAGATGGGAAGTGTGACAGATAAACTAAGGTTTTTTGTATAGTGTTTTATAGAGATTTCTTAATTTTACATTTATTACAGCATTTTTTCATACTTTAAGCATCCAGTGAGCCCCCAGAGGTAACAACACCTTCTATTCCCTTAGGTCTCCTCTCAGGTCTTTACTTATCTCTGACCTCACCCAATCAGGAGCTCTTTGACATTGGTTTTTATTCAGTTGTTCAGTTATGTGTGACTAAAAATGATTTTCATAGTTTACTATTTTTTGTTTGTTTTAACTCATGTAATTGTTAGCCCATACTGTGCAAGGATAAAGTGAGACCTTGGCAAAATATAGATAACACAAAATGTGACTAACTAAAATAAGTGATATGAGTTTTTTAAAGCAATTTTTATATCCAAATGCTTTGGGTATCTGGTTGGATAGAAGGAAGGGAATGGCGATGATCATAACATGATAGAAAGTTGTGAGAAAAAGCAAAAATAAATAAATAGAAATAAAAGCAAAAAAGGAATGCTTTGTCATAGATAATCCGCTGATTAGATTAGCTTGTTTTGATAACTGATAACTGATTTGCATACATAGTAGCTTTAGGAAGAGAAGAGTAAAGGAGAAAATGATAGTTTTAGAATTATTTGTATAAAATTCTAGGCTTTTCTCATCATGTTAAACAGAAGGAATCTTCTGGACTTTTAATTAAGAACAGTTTCATGTACTTCTTTGTGCATTTCCTTAGTTAGGCACAGGAAGGTGGAAGAAAAAAAGAAGAAACTTTTTAATGAATATTATTTCTAAAATGGAATAGCTCGTGTTATCCAATTATGTGAAATTGCATCTAAGAAAATATATTGTATAATTATTGTTTTTTGTAACAGATTTTTTTTTAATTAGAAAACTTTGGCAAAATTTTGGATGCTTTTAAAATTTCTCATTCCGATTGCTGCGATAAGTTTTTAGATGGAGTAGTAAAAAATTTAGATGGTCTCTTCCATAGTGGAAATTTCATTTGGTTGATGACTATGTATCTAATCAGCATTAATATCATAAGTGAGGTTAATATTATTATATTAAACTTAAAAAGTCAGATTTTAGCTGATAGAACTATAATCAGAGAACCAGGCAGATTTGTAGTTAATGGTGTCTCTGTCTTTTATTTTTTCCCCTCTAAGAGATAATTAAGACTGATATTTTAGCTTATCTTTTAATCCATTCCTGGTCCTGGCGATTTTATTTGAATGGGAACATGTACCTTGCTCCTAATTTGAATGTGGGGAACTTGGGGAGGTGGTGCCTTTGGGAAGCAGGGAAAGGAGGCCCATGTGCTAAGTTGTTTGTTGTGGGGATAAAAGATTTTTAAAATATGGCCCCTGTTCTCAAATAGTTTTCATGGTGGCATAAATAAAATAAATTGAGCAAATAGTTTGTATTGTTATTTTGGTTTGTTTTGATATTGAGTAAATGAATGAACAATGAAAGGGAAGGAGGGAGAGTAAGAAGAGAAGATGATATATGGGTGGTGGGGTGTTATGGATTGAATAGTGTCCCCAAAAAATATGTATTGTAAATCCTAACCTCTATGCCTGTGGTTATAATCCCATTTGGAAATGGGCTGTCATTGTCATGTTTAGGAGACAGGATTAGTGTAGGGTGTGTTTTGAGTCAATCTCTTACAAGATATAAAAACAGCAGATTAGGACAAGCAAGAAACAGAGATATGGGAAAAGAGATACCAAGTCAAATGAAAATCACACAGGAGTAGAAGCTCAGAAAGACAAGAACCTTCCTTCAGAGCCTACAGAGAGGGAGAAAAGCTTCCCCTAGAGCTGGCAACCAGAAGTTGGACTTCTAGCCTCCTAAACTGTGAGAAAATAAATTTCTATTTGTTAAAGCCACCCACTTGTGGTATTTGTGTTATAGCAGCACTAGATAACTAAGACAGAATTTGGTGGCGAGAAGGAGGGGTGCTGCTCCAACAAATATCTAAAATGTGGAAGCGGTTTTGGAACTGGGTAATGGGTATGGGCTGGAAGAGATTTAAGGTGTCTAATAGTAAGAGCTTAGATTGCCTTGAAGAGATTGTTGATAGAATTATGGATGTGAAAGACACTTCTAGTGAGGGCTCAGAGGGAAGTGAAGAGAGCTAGAGAGAAAGTCTCTATCATCTTAGGGAATACATATGGCACCAGAAACGGAATGTTGCTAGAAATGTGGACATTAAATCTGCTTCTGGTGAGGCTTTAAAAGAAAATTATGAACATGTTATTGGACAATGGAAGAAGGGTGATGCTTTTTACGCAGTGGCAATTAATTTGTCTGAATTATGTTCAAATGTTTGGTGGAAGGTAGAACTTGTAAATGATGAACTTGGATATCTGGCTGATGAGATTTCTATGCAAGATCTTAAAGGGGCTACGTGGTTTCTTCTTGTCACTTATAGTAAAATACGAGAAGAAAGAGATGGACTTAAAAAATGAACTGCACATAATACAAACAGAACTTAAAGATTTGGAAAATTCTGTTGTGCAAACTAAGGAAACGTATCCTAGAATGTTCACCAAGGACATGGCTACACAATCTTTTGTTAAAGAGATTAAACCTGTGACTGATGGATATCACCAGCTACCACAACAAAAAACCCATCGGCTTAGACTAAAGGGGACAGAGAAAGAATGAAAGGAAAGAACAATGTCTGCCTCTTGGAATTCTATAGGGAGTAAACAGGCCAAAAGAGCTACATCTGTTTTCCTCTAAGAAAAGAAAAGGACCTGGAGCAGCTATGATATTAGCAGAACTATTGTAAAGAGCACAGGAAGCAGGACTTTCTCGGTTTCAAGGGGTGGAGCCACGGTCTCCTGGATCTCAAAGGGTGGGGCCACAGTCTCCTGGATTTCATAGAGTCGAATCTTGGCCAGCTCAGTTCCGGAGTATAGGGCAGCTGTCAAAGTGTGCCAGGGGCACACTAAAGCTGAGGGGATGGGGCTGCCATGCACAAGGGGCAGAAGAATGGGCCTGCTGGGCTGAGGGGGTAGGGTCGCCACTAAAAGAGACGAGGAGTATGGGGCTACCTAAGCCAAGGGGAAGAGAGTTGTCATCACAGAGGGTCTGGAAGGTGGCACTGAAGCCCAGGGCCAAGGGGCCTCCACCCAGAATTCATAGGGTGT